TCGTCCCCCATTTGCCCATGGGTGTACGCTGCTGACGTGAGCAAATGCAAAGACTATTTTTCCGCGCGCGCTTGTTCTTTCTGGTCACGTAAGATTTGTTAAATAAAAGGGAACTATTTAGCTACAATGCGACTCAAGAAGCTATAGTCGCTCTCGGCTATCGCCTCGAGCGACTCTTACGCTTCTTTCGTGGTTAGCAACCTCCCGCGTGCATCCATAACTCAATAGTGTACGCTGTGGTGTTTACCATTTGTTAATTATTAGACAATGTGGAGGACGCAAGTCTAAAACATATCCTTAACCTTATCTAACTGCAAATCACTGCTTTTTCGTCAGTCCCCCCTCGCAAAAATGTCGATGCACTCATGCGAGAATCCGAGGTTAGCCTGATTACGCGAGATCTCATTAACCGAGACCGAGTAAATTTTCGTGTTCAACACTTCAGCCTGCCTTTTTGCGATGAACTTAAAATACTGCGCCTTATTCAATCCTATAACCAAGATGAGATTTCCCATATGGATAGATAGCACGCTGAAACTGTGCTAACAAACAGAAGACTCTTCAAGCTCCTTATAACCCAACTGAAAAGGCCTGGTAAGATCATCGATGTTTGTTACAAAGCGTTACGAAAACGGCGTTTACTTGACTTCGCCACTTTATTCAGATCTTTATAAAGTTATTCAATGAACGGAGGAAAAAAAAAAAACGTAGGTAAACAATTCCTGAGTACGATGTGCGCATTGATGTATACCCTCTTGAGTATTTGTTTTAGTTATTTCTGGGAAATCTTAGTGTAACTCCCAACACGAAGTTTTATTTCATTTCTCCTTCGAGCCCCAAATAGCGAGCTATTGTTGAGTCATAATACAATCCATGTTCCTTTCTACTCTTCTGTTCAAACAACCTTGCACGATCTTCAGTCGGTCACGTAAATAGATCGGCATACATGGAGCCTCTTACCACTCCACCGAAAATCGCAGGCTCAGTGTGTTGTCCAGTTGATTTACATACATGAAAGAGCCACGTAAATGGTTTGTGGATACCTCTTCATTATTCTTGCGCGATGGGTGTTGAGGCGAGTGGATCAGTACCTGCCAATTCGTCGTCTATGTCGTCTTCGTCGACTTTGGGAGTAAACAGATCTACATCAATGGGATTCCGGACGCCTACAGGGATAGAACACAACCATGAGTCAAGGCAGGGAAACCACTTTACATGATAGCGTACAGCGAGGAGCAGTAATTGGCCCGCAGCTCTTCATTGAACATACTAAAAACCGGATTCCTTTTCACCATCCAGCATACCACGCTACGCCTGCGTCAACTGGCTAACTCCAAACTTCTTTCCCAGGGTCTCTCTTGTCTCCACCCCTTAGGCGAGAGAGAGGTATAGGGACAAATGGGGGAGTCTCTCTCTCGCCCCCAGAGGGTGGAAACAAGAGTCCTTGGAGTAGATGCTGGACAAGCCCTGTCTGATGCAATTTTCAGTTACCCTTAAACACGCAAGATCCAATCACATTGCAGTAATTCTCCATGCCGACTATTTTACATTTCTGTGTAAATAAAACAGGAGATTTTGGTCTCATTTCAAGATAACACCCCCGATTTAAGCTGATAACCTTGTCTTTTGTCATAACCTGTTTGGTGGATAAAATATTGGATTGCAAGGAGAATTCACATGCTATTCATCTCCATGAGGTAAAAGGGTTTTTACATGTAACTGTACTTCAATGTTTGTATAGGTTTTTTTTTCTGTATATCTGTAGCAAAACAAGGAAAAACACAGAGATGATTTTATGCTTACGAAGTGCTTTTTCTATTAGAGTCCTGTGCTGCTTTTCTTCCCGCTTGAACTTGGCCTGGAAAAAAAAAAAAAAAAAAAAAACATAGACAGAGAGGAATTGGGGTATGGTGGCGGGGTGAGAAAAGGAGAACATGGGAGAACAAAGGTTCAAGGGAGGGGTGAGGAGGAGGGGGCAGGTATGAAGGACTGACAGGGAGAAGAAAGGGTAAGAAGGAAAGAGGAGGGGGATAAAAGTGAAAATGGGAAGAGTGGGTGGTGTGGCGACGATGGTTTTCAGAGAGGTGAAAGGGGAAAAGCTTGGGATAAAAAAGAGAAGGGGGAGGTGAAATAACGGAAGGCAGGTGTGCAAAGGAGGAAGGAAGAGACGAGGAAGTGGAGAGGAGGGAGGGATGAAAATGAAGGAAAGGACGGAAAGAGAAGGAAAATGAAACTGAACAGAGGAAGTACAGAAAAGTCTAGGAAAAGGCAGGAGACTGGTATCACGAGTAAGAATTCTCTCTTCAGGTCAAAACAACAACAGCCACAAACCTTAAGCTCTCTTCTTGTCCTGTTCGGGAATAGAGGGGTCATGAGACTAAAATCAGTTCCAACTTGACTGAGAGCCATGTAAAACTTTTGAGTTTCTGAGAAAGTGAATTATTAGTGTAAGAAGCATGTCTGGAATCTTACTTCTATCAAGTAAAAAAAAAAACTAGAGTTTTAACTGAAAATCCTGCACATAGTAAATGTTCTTTGCCTGTGATCTTTGAGATATGGACACACGGCTCCCGTCAAATAATATAGGTTTTTTGTTTTATTCACATGAAGTACATCGGGAGGACAAAAAGTGCTTAGATTACTAAAAATCAAACATTTCTTTTAAATTTCTGAGCTATCTGTAGGTAATATCTGTAATTTCTGAACTGTCTGTAGGTAATATCTGTAATTTCTGAGCTGTCTGTAGGTAATATCTGTAATTTCTGAGCTGTCTGTTCCANACTGGTTGATTATTCCGTGACGTAACAAAACACTTTATCGAAAAATGTGTATTTAAAACCTTTTTAATCCAAGAAGTGAGTAACAACAGATTGAATAGCGATAGATCAGCAAGAAAATTACTGAAAAATGGGAAGGAACGATCTGTCTTAGGTTGTAGTCTTGAGTCTAATAAGGACTTGTCAAAGTACACTCTACGGTAAAGTTACAAATGTAGCCTCTTTTGAAGCTGCCATTTAGCCTCGTCATGCAACATGTGCCGGACTCCACCAAAGGGTGATTTTCTAGGTAGAAGAATGATTGTACAGTTAAAGCGTTCAGAGCAGACATACTGCACCTTTCTTCGTCCAGTATAATGCTGCCATCAGCAGCCAGCTTCACACGTGGGGCAACAGCAGCCCCATCTGTTTCATCTGCGTCAACACCTGGCTCTTGGCTATCTAAGGAAGTGTTTCTAACAGAAGCTGCCCCATCATCTGACTCTTTGTTCCTACAAGAAATACAACACCCCTCAAATAAGAGTTGACAGTCTCTCAATCCTCGATTATCGAAAACTTCGAGGACCGAGGCTACACACAGAGTCTATTTTCGAAACGTACAAGAAACTATTGAGGGCTTTGAAGAAATTATCGAGGCGAAAAGCAAAGGTTTTCTGCACAATCAAATTTCCACGCGACTAATCAAAAGCCTTGTGAATGTTTGGCTGTTTGAGGTGGTAGAATATAGCACAACACGCATTTCTGTTAACATCACTTCTAGCCTAGTTTGGCCTAATTTCTAAATGCGACAACTTTGTTTTTTTTTTGTAGAAAACAAATTTGGAAATTTCAAATTACAATTTTCAAGAATTCAAAATGCTGCATGGAGCCTGTGTATGTAACAGCTCTAATCTGTATACAACCTGTGTGCCTTTTAACACAAACTTACTGCGAATTATTTGGATTTTGTCCTTTCTGGCTTTTGCTTTTGTTCTTGTCATCTGCTTTCCTCTTCCTCCCGGCCAAACTTGAACTGCAACAAACGTGAAACATTTTGTTCACTTTAACAATTATTTGTATCATTCCTAGGGCTCAAAGGTACACCTGTATATGTACACTGTTTTAAGACCGTTGAAAAGTACAGTTGTATACTAGAATAAAAGAAGTTTCGAAAGTGACTGTGGTACTGCGTCCGTGGGAGGTATTATCAGACAAATTTGTTTATCAACTGAGTTAATGAAGTGATTTGGCGACTGTGAAGAGCTTCTTTAGTTGATTTTTTAAGAGAAAAGAAAAGGGCTAACTATCGAGATGCCAGCTATGGAATTTCTTCATAGCCGAAGAAGTTTGATTTTGCAAACGCACAAACACACACAAACACACACACACACACACAGACACACACACACAAAAAAAAACTAGAGAAAACACTTGTCTCTCTCTAATAGTGGTAATGCAAAATATTACTTAGTCATTTACACCCTATAACTTTAGTAAAACATATTCTCCATACTGTTCTCTATACATTTCCAAAGGTGCTGACAAGGAGAATATGTTAAACAATCACGAGTTTCTTTTGTTGCTGATGATTTACCAAAATTCTCCTGACCTTAATGTGTGATCCAGGAGTGACATAATCACATTGTAAGGAGAAACTAGACACTATAGTCACTCTTAGAGGTCAACACGCTAATAACAACCCCACCCTTCAGCTCCTGAGAGCGATTTAACATGTGCAGTGTAACTCTCCTCTCAATTTGCCCTGTTCCAGGCATCTGGTTGGCAAACAGAGCCAATGAGTCAACAATGTGACAGTTACTTGACCCTTTCACTTCCAGAATATGGTAATTTTCTTTTCTGTCTGCCAGCCATACAATTCTTATCATGCTAATTTTGAGAATTTGGTATCAATTTTAAAAGCTACATGTAATAATCCTTGATTGAAATTTTTCTTTATTCTCTTCACGTATCTGCTTGATGTTGTATTGAAACTGTGATGAGAAATTCGGTCTTGGTCAGTCATGGGGGTTATTGGGTTAAACCTTTAGCCCCTAAGGGCGACCAGCTTCTGATTTCTCTTCACATCGTCTCTCTAGAGTCAAATGTAATGGTCTCGAGAATAAAGGAAACGATCACCAACTAAAACCACTCTTGATTGGTGTACAAATTCTCCTTGTCAACACCTCAGGAAATGTATGGAAATCACTATGGAAAATATGCACAGGGTTTAAAGGCCTAATTCAACACTTAATTCTCAGAGCTAAAATTATTCAAAACGTAACATAATTAGAAAGGAGAATTGGTACTTTGATCCTAGGGCACTTACCTCATAGGGTTGGTCTTGGGATTGAAGTAGATCAAATGTTGCATAGTCATGTGGCTGGGATCAGATGGTTCCTTTAGTTTATGGGGTCTGCCTCCTCTCTTTCTCTTGAGATCCTATGGGTGCAAATGCCAAGTGATACAGCACATCAATCATTCACAGACAGAAGGTACTTGATGGGCTGCAAAGTAGGATGAACCCTGCACCTCACACCCTTATTCCAACATGATATAACATAAGGAGATTGAAATGAAAATTATGGTAAATTTTGAGGTTGCTCATTTAACAAATGGTAAACACCACAGTGTACAGTATTGAGTTATGGATGCACATGGGAGATTGCTAAGCACAAAAAAAGTGTGAAAGTCACTCGAGGCGATAACCGAGAGCGACTCTAGCTTCTTGAGTGCTTTGCAAACCTCCCAAGTGCATCCATAACTCAATAGTGTACACTGTGGTGTTTACCATTTGTTTAATAACATAACATTGATACATTGTAGATAAAGAGTTCCCTTATATTTAACAAATCTTATGTGACCAGAAAGAACAAGCGTGTGCGGAAAAATAGTCTTTGCGTTTGCTCACGTCAGCAGCGTACACCCATGGGCAAATGGGGGACACTAAATTGACCAATCAGAGTGCACGCTTTACTTTGGTTATGTTATAATTAAAATTGAAAGATGTCATTCCTTGGTCACAATTGTGAGACCAAGAAAACATAAGAGTAACCAGCTGGTTTCCACATGCAGCTCAAAAATAACCACCTTTCTCTGAATCTGTTTACATTTGGACACTGCTGATCCCCTATACTGTGCAGTATGCTACTCACATAGAAACCTAGTATACAGGCTGCCTCACCAACAAATTCTTTGAAGCTCAAAGTTTACCAATGAATATGTTGAATTAACCCTTTGATCTCTAAAAATGACTGGCATGTAATTTCTCCTGAGAACATCACTGCTGAAACAAACATAAAGGTCAGGAGAATAAAGGAAATGATCACTAACTAAAGAGGCTCTCAATTGTTTTGTTAAACAAATTCTCCTTGTCAGCACCTTAGGAAATGTACAGAGAACAGTATGGAGAATAGTTTATTTATACTGTTGGGCATTTAGGGTTACAAAAGGAAAAGCATAAGATCAGTTTGCTGGATACCTTCTTTCTACTTTCTTCATCATCCTCAACATCATCTTTGTCATGGATCTCCGGAAATGTAACAGGTGGGGTTCCGTGGTCGACATTTTGATCTTCCTCTGATAATGTACGCAGTCTCTTGCTTCTACTCCCACTGCAATCCACAGCAGTTTGTTCCTACGAAATCAAAGAGAAGGTCCTTAAGTTTAAAGGTTTCTGTTGACTTGTTACGTGCTACATCTGAAGTCTAAAGTAATTAATCCTGCTATTCGTAAGTGGAAGCCCAAGTTTACAATTACCACTAACATGGTAACTTAAATATAATATTATTTTACAGGTAGTGGTAAACATACATATATAGCTAAAAATTTATTGCCTAAGTACTAGGTGGAAAGTAAGAAATTGGAGCAGAAAAACAAGGTTCCTTACCTTTTAATACTGACTGAGAAAACAAGGTTTGCAAGATGTTTATCAAATAACTTCTACCACAAGTAATTAAACACTGTTACTTTTTAGCCCTTCAAAAAGATAGGTTAATCTGCTGTGGCTTTCAATAAGGTTTGAAAGGACATTGTAGATGGAAAATACAAAATTTTAAGTGGCCATGTTATTTTCAATGCAAAGTTGTTCTGTCAGACTCTACGCAATACTAGGAGCCACTCAGTTGAAACACCCCAGGCAATCCACAAGGTTTGCTTTCACATGTAAATCATTCACACACAAAACCTATCACTGGTAAGCTACACATTCAATTCTACCCAAAAACAGGGAAATGGCTGCTGTACAAATTTTTCAACAGTGTTTCCATAATTGTAAAATTTCCGTGAAATGAGGTGAAAGTAATGGGCCAAAGCTTGCAGACTAGCCAGCGGTTTAAGCCAGTTCTTACAGACAGCACTGAATCTGCACTAGTGATTGGTCAACTTAGGTTTGCCTTTGAATGTACATTTATTAATCTACAGCTGTAATAAGAAAAGTATTCATTAAAATGTAATAATTATGTCCATAATCTTTTCACTTACAGATATTAGTCCCTCATCTCTGCAAGCTGAATTTATTTCTTCTTGCCTGACTTCTTGAAAATCAGGATTTTTTTCCACATTTTCTTTTGACAAAGAAGAACGCCTTCTCCTTGCAGCAGATCCAAGATTAGGTAAGACCCGTTTACGACGCAGTAATGAAGGTGTTGTCCCACCATCAGAAGGTTGTAGCACTGGAGCATCAGAATTTGCATTGCTGTTCTGTATTTGTGATGGATTTACCACTGTTTCCTGTGGAACAGGTTGGGTTCTATGTTCAATGTTTGTAAGAGAGGCACTGGTCTCTACAGGGTTTCTTGTTGATGTTACAAGCTGATTTCCCTCTTGACTGCTGTAAGTACGAATAACTTCACTATCCTCTCCATCAAATATCAACCTTCTTGACAGCTGATCTTCTTTATCACTCAGCCTACCTTGAGAAACTGTTAAGTTCTCTTCCTTTGACTTTCCATCTGATTCATTTGTGCCTGGGTGTGCATATATCTTGTTCTTGGTTGCTGCATTTGGACGAGAACGAGCCACAGAAACAACAGTAGGTTTGATACGTGATCTTCTCTGTGATCCAGTAGTGGTAGATGACAAAGATGTTTTTGATGCTGCTGAGTCACCATCCTTTTGTTTCGTAGATGCATTTGCTTCTAATGATACTGAGGATTTCACTGTTACAGCAGAGTCTAGAGGTAGAAAAGACCATGAAAAGTCTTGAATTCAGTGTAACTACAGCATGATATGGCAACAGACTGGGATGAGGTAGCCAATTACATACCAGTAATTATTTTTACTGAGTGTAGAAAATCTCTTTAGCTTTAATTTGAATTTAAAATTACAATTTCTCTCTTCCTCTCCTCACTTTATATTATCTTTGTATCCACGCACAGTGTGCATGATTTCAAAATTACTAAATCACATGAAAGAACTTTGACCTTGACATTGAAAGCTGATGTCAACATTTCTTGCATACCTTTGTTGTTTATTGTTTTATGCAGTAATGTTGTAGTTTGGTTGCTGTTTTAGCCTTTGTTAGCACAAATTTGTTATATCTTTCTTTTGGAATTCTAAAAAGTTTTTCTATTTTTATTTTAGCCACATGTTGTAGTTTATCTAACAACTTCAGTGAATATATATTTTCGGAACAATTTGCGTATAACCCCATACCAGTCAAAAACAAAGCCAAAGTCCCAAAGGTAATCAGTTGTTTTGCATGTTTTCGTTTATCCAAGAATTGTATGTATAATGAAGAATGGGGTTATACGGAAATCTTGCCCATATTTCCTACAGAGTTAAGACTTTTGCTTCTTTTTTTCATGATTTGATTTTTTTTTTACTGTGATGGAGGGGAAGGGGGGAGAAACAAGATCCAAAATCAAACATCTCCATATTTCCAATAGTTGACTCATAAAATTATGCGACACTGAACAAGTCCAGACTAATACAAGTTGCAAAATGAGTTAACCGTACAATTTTTTTTCTTTTTTTAAGTATGAGATTTATGCCACAAAGAAGGAAATAAAGTATTATTTCAAAGATATGGCTCAAAAGCATCTTAATACCGGTCAAAATGTTTCGTTTCTGCAATCCATCTCTCCCCTCAGAAATTCGTATCTATTTACAGCATTAACGTGCTAAGAACACAAGTTCTTATAAATACTGAGATGGGTTTTCTAAGAATGCAATTCCCCATTGAAGACCGAAGTAGACGCAGTCAATTCGATTTTTTCCTCGACTCCTGACGATCAAAAGGGTTCAAATAGCTGGGAAACAAGTATAAAACTTACTGCCAATATTTTTTCTAGCACCGAAACATAAACTTTGTCAGGAGGAAATCACCATAGACTAACCTACCTTCACTGGCCTTCTTTACCGACTCTTCTTGCAGTTTATTTATATTGTTCAGATTGCCCTCAGAGCTTGCCGTCAAGGAACTACTTCGTCGAGAAGAAGGCCGAGGAGTCGATAACACAGGTTTAAAACGATTTCTCATTTCACCTCGAGGAGCGGTTCACAAGCAAGTCCAACAGTATGTTTGTCTTTCGTTTGACTTCATTTTTGAGTTCAGCTTTCACAACTTTTTTCTGCTCACCGAACAGAATCGCAGAAATTCAGTTAAGTTACAAGTACGTTCACGTCCCGAAAAAGTTTGTATTTTGATCTCATACATCACGTATATACAAATTTATAAGGTATGCTGCTGACCACGGATGGATGGTTGAGGTCTACCCAGTCTCCCCCGTCCTTCTTTGAATTAAGGGGAGAACCAGGCAATATCAGAATGATGTCAACAGCGCGGCGTGATTTGCTTTCATTTGATTTTGTAAATAAGGCAAGAAAAAATTTTCCCTTCGCATGTACCAACTGCTCACAGCCTATACAAAACTTCCACTTCGGAAAGCTTTTCATCCATTATGCTTTTCACTCATTCACCTTCCCAGAGGTTAGTGCAAGCAGAGATGTTGCTGAGGGATTTGAAGATGATGGGGGAGATATGAAAATCACTGATCATTCTTTAGGGTTTTATCTTGTAAATCATTTTTTGTTCTTCTCATTAAGTCCATCAAACAATTGTTAAGATTACTCCCTAAAGGAAAATCCTCGGCAGTATTCACTTATCCTCAGAAATAGATTGGGCTACAAGTAAATAATTCAACTTATAATTGTAACCATTAAAACTAAATGAGCTTTGCGGAGGCACCGCCAAAGGCTGGGGCGGATCCAAGATTTAGTCTAGGGGGGTTCGAAGTATTTTCTCCATTCTGAGGGGTCCGAGATTTTGAAAATTAGGTCTTCAGAAATATGATTTCCAGCGTTCTGAGTGATAAGTTAGGGGGGTTCAACCTAACCACCCCTGGATCCACCCCAGAAAGGTAACCAGCAGCACACAGCCTCATAGCTAGCCAATGGGAGGGTCTTCATTCCATCTCAAGTAAATGGGAAATAGGATAAAATAAGTAAGAGATTTTAGGCATAAAAGAAAATTGAAATTTTTTTGACTGACCATTTACTTGAGAATTCCAAAACATTTAACTTTTGCAGTGATGACAGGCTTATAAAGTCATTAAACTGTTATTTTTGTACCACAATCATTTGGCTATTTATTTAATTCATAATTTGCTTAATAGTTTCTTTTGAGATAGTGATGTTAATTGCAAATTATCTACCTTCAATCCGGAGAACGTATATCTAATGAACTAAATGCAAATGAGAAAAAAATTTAAAAGTGTTTTGTCACTTTTTCTGAATTCTAAAATGTAATTTTTTTTTAAATCTACTCTGCCTTTGATTTTTTAGAGCACTTTTGTATGATGTGTTGTAAGCAATACTTCAGACAAAAGTAGAACAAAATCATAAAACAGACAACAATCATTCCTACAAAAAGAAACACATCTAGGAGATAAATTTGGAAAAAGTACAAGTTGTCAGCTTCACTCCTTAAATGCAATCCTGCTTTGTTATAAAGCCCATATTCAATCCAGTCACAGGCTTCTTCAGTTGGTGTGACTCTCCTGTGACGAATCAATCTGGAAACTCTTACAGCATTTTCTTTGTAACTGGAATTTCTGAGAACTTCAAGCAATGCATTTGTTACCACATTTGGAGTTAACTTTTGCAAGTCCAGTATCACACCAATACCAGCCTCATAAACTTTCATGGCATTCGCAGGTTGGTCACCAAATAGAGGCAAAACAACCATGGGTGTCCCATGATAAGCACCCTCAAGGACACTGTTTAAACCCCCATGAGTAAAAAACACCTTTGTAGCTGTATGTCCCAGTAGATAATTTTGCTTCATCCACGGTACTATTCTGACATTTTTGCTCATGTTTTGAGGTAGTAAGTTCAAGTCACCATTGTATTTCCATATCACCTTAGATGGAACCTGCATAAGCCCTTTTGCTATGGTATCAACAAACTCTGGTTTGAAATTTGAAATGACAGTCCCAAATGAAACAACAACTAGTTCTTTTAATTCTCCATGAGAGATGAAATTCTCTGTGTCTTCCGGAAGTGGTTTAGGCTCTTCGGGAAGTATGGGCCCAACCACTTTCACATGGGCTCCAAAAGGCCTTGGAAAATCCAAAGCAAAGTCATGTGGAATTATTAACAATCCTGTGGCTCTGAATACTTCACTGAGACTAGAAAACTTACTGTCTTTGACATGAGTCCTCCACAGATCTTCAAAGGGTGGCATGAAAACAAACTCGTGCATAACATACCCCAAGATGTACAATAACAGGTTTTGTAACCTGTCTAAAAATGACATCCTCTTGGGAAGTTTGACAGTTCCGTGCGGAACATAGGCCACAGGGGAAGGAAAGTTGTGAATGAAACTCACATAGGGATCTACAAATCCGATGGGAGCCAAGTCAACGCGATTCACTTTCAGCAAATCTGCCACAATAGCACAACATATGCTTGTGATATCACAAACAATCAAGTCTACCGGTTCCAGGCTTTTCAACAGAGCTCTGTCACTCAGCAAACTCTCGCACGTAGACTTCCAAAAATCATTTCTCTCGGTGATATTTAGCTTGCCTTCTGCTTCTCTTATTATCACTTTTTCCAGATCATCCGCATTTGTTTGAGAGTTATAAGATTTCACTGCAATGCCATACAAACTGGGTCCTATTTCATTCGCTTGCCAGGTTGGTACAACAAGACTGTACCTGTAACCTCTCTTGGCAAGTTCTCGTCCGATTTTGACGTAAACAAGTCCATGACTTGTTCCAATGCTTGGTATTCCAACGATGTGACTATCAGAAGCTTGGATAAAAGTGACCAGAAAACACAGCGAGGCTAGCACTGTGACAACCATGTCAGTTTTGTGGTCAGTCATTTCGATGCAAGTCAGGTGGCCCGTAACGTTCGCGCATCACGCAATGCAAAGAACAACACTTGCGTGACGGCAGCGTGATTACCAGACGGATATAAAGAGCGAAAAAGATAAACATTGGCAAAAAAATACCTCTTTCCTTTCAAAGGTTTGTATGGCTCTCATATTTCTGATCTCCCCTTTTCATAACTTTCCTTTAGAACCTTTCGAGTCTCCATAGCCTAGACACCCGAAAGGGTTAGAGGTCGGTAGCACTGGAGATGAGAGTTAGTTATAATTAAACTTTTAATAAAATAGAGGGCAAAATTACTGAATGCTGATTGGTCAATGAAGAGGGTATTTTTTCTTAATTTTGCTTAAGAAGAGGGAAAAATTTTTTAGCTCATGCTCGGCCCCATGTGATTACCTAGACAAATGGGAGAAAGTCGAGAAACAAGTCGTGTCACCATTTGTGCATTTTGAAAAAATAATTAGCCAGATTTTTCAAGTGCGCTGCATTCTTCGTCTTAAGACGTTATTAGCTCTTCTCCGTCTGACAGTTACCCCCTGAGTCCAGTTGTTCAAAGGGCGCTATAAATCGCTATCCAGCAGATAAACGTTGACAAAATGTTTTCCAAACAGTGGATGGCTGTATCCACCCTTCAAACAACCCGGGCCTAATTATTTTTAGCAGTGGTCAGGTGACCCATGAATGAATGAAATGAACCCACGAATGAATGAAATGAACCCACGAATGAATGAAATGAACCCACGAATGAATGAAATGAACCCATGAATGAATGAAATGAACCCATGAATGAATGAAATGAACCCATGAATGAATGAAATGAACCCATGAATGAATGAAATGAACCCATGAATGAATGAAATGAACCCATGAATGAATGAAATGAACCCATGAATGAATGAAATGAACCCATGAATGAATGAAATGAACCCATGAATGAATGAAATGAACCCATGAATGAATGAAATGAACCCATGAATGAATGAAATGAACCCATGAATGAATGAAATGAACCCATGAATGAATGAAATGAACCCATGAATGAATGAAATGAACCCATGAATGAATGAAATGAACCCATGAATGAATGAAATGAACCCATGAATGAATGAAATGAACCCATGAATGAATGAAATGAACCCATGAATGAATGAAATGAACCCATGAATGAATGAAATGAACCCATGAATGAATGAATGAANAGATGACGAGTAGAGACCAATCCAGGGGTACGTACTATGCTTTACTATGTTTGTAGGGTAGATGACGAGTAGAGACCAATCCAGGGGTACGTACTATGCTTTACTATGTTTGTAGGGTAGATGACGAGTAGAGACCAATCCAGGGGTACGTACTATGCTTTACTATGTTTGTAGGGTAGATGACGAGTAGAGACCAATCCAGGGGTACGTACTATGCTTTACTATGTTTGTAGGGTAGATGACGAGTAGAGACCAATCCAGGGGTACGTACTATGCTTTACTATGTTTGTAGGGTAGATGACGAGTAGAGACCAATCCAGGGGTACGTACTATGCTTTACTATGTTTGTAGGGTAGATGACGAGTAGAGACCAATCCAGGGGTACGTACTATGCTTTACTATGTTTGTAGGGTAGATGACGAGTAGAGACCAATCCAGGGGTACGTACTATGCTTTACTATGTTTGTAGGGTAGATGACGAGTAGAGACCAATCCAGGGGTACGTACTATGCTTTACTATGTTTGTAGGGTAGATGACGAGTAGAGACCAATCCAGGGGTACGTACTATGCTTTACTATGTTTGTAGGGTAGATGACGAGTAGAGACCAATCCAGGGGTACGTACTATGCTTTACTATGTTTGTAGGGTAGATGACGAGTAGAGACCAATCCAGGGGTACGTACTATGCTTTACTATGTTTGTAGGGTAGATGACGAGTAGAGACCAATCCAGGGGTACGTACTATGCTTTACTATGTTTGTAGGGTAGATGACGAGTAGAGACCAATCCAGGGGTACGTACTATGCTTTACTATGTTTGTAGGGTAGATGACGAGTAGAGACCAATCCAGGGGTACGTACTATGCTTTACTATGTTTGTAGGGTAGATGACGAGTAGAGACCAATCCAGGGGTACGTACTATGCTTTACTATGTTTGTAGGGTAGATGACGAGTAGAGACCAATCCAGGGGTACGTACTATGCTTTACTATGTTTGTAGGGTAGATGACGAGTAGAGACCAATCCAGGGGTACGTACTATGCTTTACTATGTTTGTAGGGTAGATGACGAGTAGAGACCAATCCAGGGGTACGTACTATGCTTTACTATGTTTGTAGGGTAGATGACGAGTAGAGACCAATCCAGGGGTACGTACTATGCTTTACTATGTTTGTAGGGTAGATGACGAGTAGAGACCAATCCAGGGGTACGTACTATGCTTTACTATGTTTGTAGGGTAGATGACGAGTAGAGACCAATCCAGGGGTACGTACTATGCTTTACTATGTTTGTAGGGTAAGTGACGAATAGAGACCAATCCAGGAGTACGTACTATGCTTTACTTGGCATACACCTTTGATTGACAATGGCTTTCGACCAATGAACCATATAAGAGGGCAAAAAAAGATGCTTAAAATTCAGTTTGAGTAAAAACACCGCACATCCTCCCTTCCTTTCTTGTACAGGAATAAATCTATTAATTTAGAGAGGGATCTTACATTGCAAGTAATTGTAAATATAAAGGAAGTCTAACACCGCAATCACTTCCAAATGATCTCTTGAATATTGTTGATGGCAAGGAAGTACTTTTTTTAATTTTCGTTGTTCGCGTCCAATTATTCTGTTCCAAACTCGGTTTTTCCCCTGAGGAAAATGTGTAGTCAAAAACTAGTCGAAATTCACGGTTTCCTTCACTGATGTAAAAAAAAAATGGTAAGTAAGCTTTTAAAACTGACAAGATCACGTGCAGGGCCAGTTGTTTCGATGTCCTCGGTGAACATGAGTAATGATCTGATCTACACAAACTAAAACTACTTGCGAAACTGAAGTAATTGAAAGAAACAACACGAAAACAAAAACATGCAAAAGAACACCTCACAATTTATTTATAACAGAGAGAAAAAGTTAAAGAGACGTTGAACCCCTCAGTTCTAATTTTATTCTGCGGCTAGGCCGTGACACTTAAGTAATTACAGTTTGGAGGCAGCAAGGAAACTTTTCATGTAAAGTTGGTGCCAAAAAGACAAGACGGACTTTCTGACCGAAATTCTGAGGTAAAGATCAATACCAGTGGGAGTATCTGTTTATCATTAGCCCTTTCGCTCGGACGAAGGGCTAACGCTCGAAACGTCAGCTTTTGTAATCGTTACGGTGGCCAATTTTCCATTTCAACTTTGTTGATATATCCAAATTATATCAGCAACATAGTCTTCTTATATCTTTAATAATGATGTCAAGGAGACATCCACTAAAATTTTATATTTTTGCAAATATTCAATGTGGGAAATCGATAATATTGCCTTCAGTGATTCTTAGCCTTAACAATCGGCGCCTCGAAGCTCTCGCTAATTCGAAAAAAAAAATTCAGGACGGCCCAGGTTTTAACTTCTTGTTTGCCTAATTACTTGTTTTGTTCGCTTCCACGATCACGAACGTGTCTTTAAACTGAAATTATTTCTGTGTTTCTCAGCGTTATCCTCCTTATCTTTTTGTCTTCGGTAACTCTACATCCATTTTTCAAGAAGTGACGAGTGAAAAAATTTTATCACATTCTCCAGTTGTTGGACACTTTCAAAACTATGCTCTGTTTAATTGCAAAATGTTCCTATTCTAATTGTTCTGAGCGTGACAAAAAGAAAAAGAGATGGAAATAAACATATCGATTATTTCAACATCAGTAAAAAGTTCACGTAGTCGTGTGAAGTAAAATATTTGTGCTACACAAACTTTTGTGTACTAACTTGAACCGGTCAGCACTTTTTTCCTGGTAATGTGACATTTGCGGTAGAGAAATTAATTTATGAAACTCGAATAAAAGCCTGCTAAACTGGTCGAACAGGTATTATAAAATGTGGCATTCGTAGCGAGGCTGAAAAGTTGTCACCTGGATCTGAGTTATTTGTACACCTGTTCATGATTTGGTCATCTGACATTCAAAAGTTGCCAATATTACCACACGTACAACTTAAAATCAGCAGTTAATCACGCTGCTGTTGGCTTCATTTTCGCTAATTTAAGCGCTAACCATTCGAACAAAACTGAAACTGCCTGCGAAACTATCAGTATTCAAATCAACATCGTGGCCATAAAAATCCTTTCTATTACAATGAGTGTTATGATAACAGCTAAATTTACGCGAAATTGGATGCATCGACAATCTTCATGAGGAGAAACTTTTTGGCGTTGTCCCTTTGGCTGAAATGTCCAGATGATTTGATGAAATGCTGACGGAACTCGGAGCAAACAGAGAAGAAACCTTCGTTCTTTAATCGGTTCAAATATAGTTCCCACTCCAAAGGGAAGTGGATCGTTATCAGTGACAATTTTTTCTGCTATTTTCAATTTTGCTGGTGTGTGGACTTTTGTGGAAGATAGTAGCGAAACAGACCTTGCATTTTCGCTGAAATTAATAACAAGAGGATGACATAAATGGTAAATGGTCAGGGGGCGTAGCCAGGATTTTTCAAAAGGGGGGTCACAGAGGCTACTCACCATTTACACCGCTGCTCTCCCGCGTGTATCAGCGGGCTCAGTC